CATTTTGTCAGAAAACGACAGACACGGGTTCGGTTGTCCAGTAGACAGAAGTTTTTTTTATTGGGCACGTTTGCAAAGGTGGGTCCCTCCCGCAGCAATGGAGGAACCCCGAAACAAAGTCTGACAGGTTTTTTTATACCCCCTATCTGTCCTCCCCCTCCTACGAGGGCTTGGCTCACAATCTCCCCTTTTTTACCGCCCCGGAGCGCCGCTAATTAACCGCAAAACTGCAGACATTCCACTTTCCGAACCCAATCAGCGCAAACCACATAGCAATACCCACTTGCCCCAACAGCCGCCCCCTGCCGTTTCTCTTCACTCTGGTGCGAACGTGCCTCCTGCCTACAGTATTTCCTCCCTTCTGCCGTCCCCCCCAAAGCTTCCCCATGGTGCACAGCGCTCTCCCCTAGCAAACATGGTTTGTTTGAGGCCCTCACTTCTCCCTGCCTTCTCACAGCAGGGTTCCACATCTGACCCCACTGTGCTCTGATCCCTATAAACATGTGTAAAGCTCTCCTACAGAGCAGAATTCCCTCTAAGCAGGTCTATGTTGCTTGCATGTTCCCATTCTCTCTCCACTTTGAGTCTTCCAGATGTTGAGGAAAGGGTCTGAACAGAGCTTTAGCATGATTCCAAGACATTATGGGAGAAATGGATCTGCCTCCCAAAAAACAAGGGAAATGTTTAGCAAAAACAGTCTGCAAATAGGCTACCTCTTTGTGCTTGAGTGGAAAAAGATAGCAGTCAATTTATTAGAAAGTAATGGCTTCAGACAAGTTTGGCTCAACTCTAGTTATAGCCACGATAGGGTGGACAAGCCTCAGCAGGTGGAAGCACCTAGCTGACCTGGCTGATTTTGGAAGCTGTGCAGAGTTGGCCTCAGTTTGTACTTGGATGAGAGCCCACCCCCAAATCCCCATAGGCTAGTCTGGGAAGTTGAAAAAACACCCTAGAAAAAGGCCATGGTAAACCACTTCTATATTCTTTCCAAGAAAACTACATGGATTCAGTTATCAGGAACTGGGCTTGGCCCAAGGGCATATTTACTGCTTTAGGAACAGATAAATCAATCTATTTCTAATTTGTGTCAGTTTTGCATAAGGTCAAGCATAAAACTTTTCTTCATTTGAACATCTGCATTTACATCATATACATTTACTCTCTCTAATTTGCATTTCCCCTAAAATACTAATTTTTGTATCAATATTTGCTTAAAATATGGATGCTTGTACACATTTTTTTTTAAGAAAGAAGCGAAATGGAAAATGTGGAGGAGTGTGAAATATGGGCAACTATATTCTGATTTATGAATCCTGGAAATGCAAATTGGGCTGCTTTGCTTTAAAGAGGAATACCCAATCTACAGTTCCATCTGAGACTTGGTTGAAGCTCAGAGCTCTTGAAACAACTGGCAGTGATGTAATTTTAATGTTCCAGAAGGGGATAATTGTTAAATACATGGGGAACAATCCTATCAACTCTATTCAATTAATTTCACTCAGTTTTAATTAGGTTTTAATTTAAATTAAGTTTTAACTTTTCCTGGCCTTGCCTTCATTTTGGAAGTAGTCCCTTTGCTGGCCACCCAAACTCCAAGTATAACCTTGGCTCAAACTAGGTTATGCAGCCCGCTTTAAAATAGGGACCAAATATATTTCTCCATGGTTCCTATTTTAGTCATTGAAATGAAAGTACCATGGCTGCCAAAAGAACACATTTTTTAACAGCCCAAACTTTCTCAGTTTGAATTTTGGTTAAATTCAGAGAAAGCAGAGGGAAGATGAGCTAGGACCAGCTGAAGATCTCTTGCTGGTTCTCTCCTACCCAACGTCTCATCCAGCATTTCTGCAGGATTATTGCTTTAGACTGGGATAGCAGTAGACTGTGGTAAATTACAGATGGAGAAAGTTTTAGCAAAGGGGAATGGAACAGATTAGGAGAACAAATTGATAACTGGAACTCAACAGACTTTGCTTTCTTGTTGCAGATCTAGGGATTGGAGACTTTGAAGTGTGACAGGCTACAATCAAGAAGATGCTTGTGAATGGTTGACCAGATGATCTGGTCCTCTGACACCTCCTCAGTGCAGAGAACTATGGCATCATGCCTAGCGGTGATTGCGGAAGAAAGCATATTTGAGACAGGAAAAGTTCTAAGATGATGAGACGAACCAATGGGAGGAACTAGCAAGAAGCCAAGGGGTGGCTTCAAAGCTGTTCTAAAGGTGTGAACGGCTCAGATTCCCAGGAAGGGTATGGCCAGATCCTTTTTCAGACCACAGAAGTTTCTTCGGAGGACCCAGTTTCTGCTCTTTTTCCTCACAGCAGCTTATCTGATGGCAGGCAGCATTCTCCTCCTACAACGATCCCGCTTCGTTCTACAGCAAGGCTCCCGGGGGACCTCCAGGAATCAAGGCCTACCAGTCGCTGAAGCTTTGCTAAGGGACACAAATGCAGATAGCAGACCAGTGCAGATGCCTCACTCGACTTCTAAGCTTCTCATGAACATGGATACAGTCTATGGATCCACACCAGACCAGAAAGATGGACCGCGGTGGCTGATCTCCAGAAACTCTGAACTGAGACAATTACGGAGGCGCTGGTTTCTCCGGTTTGTAAATGATCAAGAGCCGGTCCTGGCTTCTGGAGCAAAAACACTGAAGCACACCTCCAAAAGCAAAGGTAAATATGGTTCTGAAGCTTGTGCTAAACTTTGCAGAAGCATTTTTGAAAGGAGAAACAGATTACTTTGCACTGCCTTCTGTGGGTGACATTATTTGTTACTATTATTCCCCATCTTTCACTATAAAGGCATTATAAAAGCACATTCGGTGGTTTACAATAACCTGAAATGCAAAATATAAAACACCACCAAGAAATCAATAAAGATCTAAATCAAAATTTAAATTAACATTTAATTGCTACTATTAAAACATCATCATGATGATGATGGTGGTGATGATGATGATGATGATGATGATGATGATGGTGATGATGGTGATGATGATGATGATGATGATGATGATGATGATGATGATGATGATGATGATGATGATGATGAAGATGATGATGGTGATGATGGTGATGATGATGATGATGATGATGATGATGATACCAAAAACAAGATGAGGAAAGCATTTCATTTATAGTCCACACTTCCTTTGAGTGGGTTATAATTCACCATCTGCCATTTTACTTTCACAACAGCTCCATGGGATAATTTAGGCTAAATTATAGTTAGTAACTGGTCAGCCCTACAAGTAGACAGACCAGGAAATTGACTCCACAAGATGACTAGAACTATATTTTATTGAGATAGAGTCTAGTAACAGAATCTTGCAAGTTTGCCCATATTGTCCCTTCCTTCCCTTTTATAACATAGGGCAGTGTTTCTCAACCTTGGCAACTTTAAGCTGTGTGGACTTCAACTCCCAGAATTCCCCAG